TTTTTTATTTTATGACATTGGCAGTAGAAAACTGAAGAAAAACGATACTATCGATTGCTGTCGATTGTTGTCGACAACATCGTCTCTGTTGAATAGTCCGTATTGAACATAGCCAGCGTGGCAGGCGCTTGAAAGTATTTGGGCGCAGGAAAGAACAGGCGCGCGTGAGGGAGACACGCTTGAGTAGATAGACACGCGTGTCTCCCTTACGCGGGCCGTTCTTTCTTAAGCCATTATTTCCAAGCGCCTGCTACGAAGCCTATATTGAACAACAATAAATAGTACCTTGCCACATTTGAAGGCAAATCCACCCAAGCAAGGTTAGCGTCATTTGTACATCATCTATCATTGGTATATCTACGTCGCTTTCAATTACAACACCGCTCGAAAATTTGCGAAGTTAAGCACCACCCTCCGGGTCTTTACTAAATACCGTAAATCAGCCTATTTACGCCCACTTCCAACACTTCTGTTCTTGAGAACGCCCCCTCAACGCTGTTAAAATTGTATTAGACCTCCCTATAATAAACGCCTCCTCTCTAACAGACGCCCCCAAGAGAATTTACTCCAAAATTCTAAAAGGAGAAAATCATTCAATTCATTCATTTTCTTGCTGATTGACACGGGGTTTGAATGTTTTTATTTTCATCCTGTTAATATACTAAGGATGGAAACACAATAACCCTGAGGAAGGATTCTGACATCGACGGGTTGGGATTTGAAAAGAGCGATATGGATCTCTAAACGGCCTGGAGTGAAAAAAAACATCAAGAGTTTATGTTGAGTTGTACAGTTTTAACAATAAGCACCTCTCCCTTCTAAACGCCTCATATCTTTTAAACGCTCCCGTTTGGACCCATGAAGTCAAAAGACGCTTTAGGTCAGTGCTGGTGTTTATTAGGTCACCCACGGTTAATTGCATTTAGTATATACTAAAACAGTGGATAGTGTTTTTCGCGCGCTCTGATTGGCTACTCAATCAGTGAATATCCTGCACTATTCACTGATTCACCTCCAGTTCCTCCGAGCGAGCGACGCCAAACTCACGTAAGTTGCGAGCAAAATGCCTTCCTAGTTTGCTGCCGTAACAAAGTAAGAAATTTCACAACTAATCAAGCAAGCTATTCCAAAAATACGTGAAGAAGGTGACGAAGTTCGGTTTCGAAGTTTTAATAGGTAAAACTTTGTCTTTTTGACTTGAATTTATCGATAAAACTGGTGAAAAAGGTTTTAGTTTACAAATGCAAATTAAGCTTAAGTCTTGCGTTACTTTATTTAGTTGACTTGTTCATAAATAAGCTTAAAACTAAACTTAATAATCTTTTTTCCAGAATGATTTTAAATACAAAAAGGAATTCACAACTCCTTTTAAAGAAACTTTCCCGCAAGAGCTAAACAAACGCCATCAAGTTTTATTTGTCGCCAGGAAGAAACAGCGACGACGGCGGCCGTTCAGTCATCGCGCGCCAAAATTATAATCGTTGGCAACAGTAAATGAGTTAAAAATCATCATTTTTGTGCTCAATTATCTCACTGTTTTAGTATATACTAAAACAATTATTCACCTCAGTGTCGGTGGCTAGTAGTGGAAATTTACCTCTCCGCTTCCCGGCCTCGGTAAATATATCCAGTACTAGCTACCTCCACTTCGGTGAATAATTTTTATATATATCTGCTTCAGGGCACTTCCCGAGTGCGGTTGGGCTAGGCTACGTGCCGAGCCCCTCCCTCATTTCTCACCAACTCCTGTTCAACACTAGCGATCTTCTTATTCAATGAAACTAAATTAAAACAAGGTAAAAATTAAACCAATTGTCATTTACCAGCGCGAGATAATAGAAGTTATTTTTTTATTTGTCCAACGCTGGATCTTCATTGATGCGGTTATGCCACGCACCTCCAGGGAATTCAGACGCCTCGCCTTTTCTTTGTCTAAAATTAATCCAATCTTTTGAACTGTCACTTTCTTGATGTCTGGCAATGACAAGAGATATTCTTTGTACAAATCAGCTGCCACAGGTTCATTTTCAATACCAAAGATCAATCCTTTACTTTTATAATAATTATATTATATTATAATTTTATAATAAGCTTGTGAATAGATGACCATTTTTGGGGGTGCTCCTTTTTCTGTATTTTTTTAAACTAGATTTTCTGGTTTTTAAACCCCTGTTTTTGCATATGAGAAAAGACATCTTTACAGATACTGGCAGTTATTCTGTTTTGCTTTTGTTCAAACCAAGCAGGATTCGTTGATTGTCCTCTTGTTGTCATTTCAATTTGCTTTTGCTTTTCTGTAAAAGTTTCAATAAATAATGTTTCTGTTTGGACTGTTGGCAGTTGTACTTCAGATGGATCTATTGTACTTACAATAAAACTTGAAATATTCTGTTCTTGCCGTTGGTTATTAACATTACAATCTGATATCTGCTGAAGCTGTAGGTCATCATAATCATTAGAAGGAGTGTTAAGGGGTGCCATTTCTGATTCACACTGCACAGTGGAAGGTGGAGCAGAGATTTCATGATTCAAACTTGAATTTGAATTAAGTGCTTGCCCATTTGAGACAGGATTCACATTTTCTCTACCGGCAAGGGAGGAACTACTAAGATAGGGTACTACCAAATTTGGAGGCTGCTGGGAATAATCTTGAAGTTGCTTATGAATTGTTGAACCCTTAGCAACAGTGCCAACTACAGTCATTACTGTTTGAATTGTCTTTTCATCTGGTAACATAGCAACAAAGGGTATGCGAGCATTTATTTTCTGAAGATCTTGCCTCAGCTTTACAATTCCATCAGCATCAAGCTTCTGTGATTTCAATGGTCTGGGGTCGTAAAACTGAGAGCCAATACTCCTCTTCTTACTACCAGGTAAGTCAGACGCATGTCTTGGTTTTGTTATTTTTAAAGCCATCACTGGAGAGAACTCTACTTCTCGT